ACACATAGCCCTGATAGATCTTGAAAAGGCATAAGATAATGTGCCGATAAATAATTTATGGAGTGAAATGCAAAACATGGAAATAAAACCTTCGTTAATAATAGCAACTCAAAATGTGCATCAATTAAAATAGGTGGCAAACTTAGTGAGAAATTCAACACTACGAAAGGGCTACGACAGGGATGTTGTTTATCACCTACGCTGTTTAAAATATATCTGGATCGATCTCTACAAAAGTGGCAAAGACAATGCAGAAATAGGGGATTACAAATAGATGAGGATATTCTCTATACACTATTCTTCGCTGATGACCAACTGGTGGTAACAGAAGATATAGACGACCTCAGCTATATGGTTAGGAAACTACAAACAGCGTACGAAGAATGTGGACTGACAATGAACTTACAAAAATGCGAATATCTCTCAGTGGGGAAAAATACAGTCGAAGACCTGACATTGGAGATTGACAAAATCAAAGGAACAAATAGAGTAAAATACCTAGGAGTAGTGTTTACAAAAGACGGAAATAGCCATGAAGAAATAAATACAAGAATAAACAAAGGCAGAAACATTACCAAAAGCCTAAACTCCATTCTCTGGGATAAAAAAATCACAAGAACGACGAAAAAACGAATATATAAGACGATGGTTGAGCCGGTGGTAACATACGGAGCAGATATATGGGACACTAGTAAAAGAAACAGGAAAAAATTACAAGCTACCGAGATGGATTTTATGAGAAGAAGCTGTAGATTGACAAGGATGGACAGAATCCGCAATGAAGAAATAAAACGTAGAATGGAGCAAGAAAAAGACATTATAGATGAAGTCCAGAAAAAAACAACTAACTTATATAATATAATATATAATTGTTATTATATATATATATATATATATATATATATATATATATATATACATTGTGCTATTTTATTGTTGCCTTATTTTTATAACTTGTTCATTTTCTGTTTGCTTTCGTAAGTTAAGAAATCACCATTTTTTTTTTGGTGCACACAATCTTTGTTTTTTAACATTTTATATAACTACTTTAAGAACTCAAGTGATATCTCTACTGGTTTTATGTTCTCTAGGATGTTGGATGGTTTCTTGGGCTTGACATCCATATGGGCATTTGTCATTTTGTATCTGAGGGTCTTTGGCAATATGTTTTAGGTAGTTTTTAATCAGTTATTAGTCAGTCAAGCAGTTGGTTAGTCAGTGGAAATAACCTGATTCTGAATGGTAAGTAGGAAACCCTCCGTCTCAGGAAACATCTTTTCTTGAGTCAACCAATAGTTCGACGCTGTATTGTCGACATATTCTTGGTTAATCTCATTTGAGATATCGCTCATGTAGAGGTTTACTCATCTAGGTATTTTTTTTTCTTGCTTGATCAGGTGGTTATTGTAGATTTCTTGTTCCCTCTACTTGTCTAGTATAAAAAGGAATATTGATATCATTTAAGAATGTCAGTATTCAGATGTAAAGATATTTGATATAAAACTGAATTTGTTTATCAAGCATATTGATGAAAAAAACCCAAATGTAAGAGAGCTTTTGAAGAAGCTGAGGAAATTTTTTGATAGTAAAAGAGTAAAATGAAAAATGTGTTGATAAAACCCCAAACTGGGTTTTAAAATCGATTGGCTGATTTTAGAAAGTTCTCGCTTAACATGGAGATTTTCCAAAATTATTTTCCGGTTTATATTGATGTAACAAGTAATTTGCAAATAAACATAGTACATTTGGAAAACAGTAGCATTTTAAAAACGGAATTTAAGAAAGCACTGACTTTGTACACTTCTTCAAAAGTTGTTGTTCTAACTTTGGGAAATTAAAAAGGCTGCTCAGCTCAGACAATTAATCCTTCGTAACAACAATTTTCAAAAATGGTTTTCAACAAAAGTTGAAATGGTAGTAATAATGCTTGATGAATTTAAGGGCACTTTATTTTACGTTAAACTGTTACAAAATATAGTTATTTACAAAAGTATTTAACTAAAACTAAACTAATGTGAACTGTTTGGCACGAGGATCAGTGGTCTTGAGTGGTATGTCTTGAGTCTTTCCTATTAGCCTGTCTTGGCTAACTCTTGTTTCTTCCGATCCCAAAAGGCTATTAGGTTTCCAAGGGCAGACGGGTCACTATATTTCCTTCTACCTCATACTCTTTAGTGTGCGAGCATTCACCGAGCGATTGCCGGTATAAGCAATCCCCCACTTACTGACCAACGGCTTCTGGCGGATAAGTTAGTAACCTCTCTCTTGATACAAAAGTGAGATTGCTCAAATACACCTTCTAGTGAATGCTTTGTATTCAAATAGACTTCGTTCGTATTCACTGTAAAAACTTTCGGACTTTTCTTCAAATCAAAGTCCTCACAAAGGTTCAATCTTGGGTAATATTGAATTTTTAAATGGCATATTCAGTCAACAACGTCTAGCGGGGATGGTAGTGTAATATGACTAGATTCCGATCGGAAGATGTGCTGCCTTTTTATACACTTCGTGTTTGCAACTTCGAAGCAATCTTCAGCCAGGAGGCCAATGACAACGTAGTTAATAACCCTGTTTGTGATTGTCCGACCAGAGTGACAATCTGCGTCGTAATTGGTCACTCTGGCGACAAACCAATCTTTTATAGAAACAGGAACCTCCAATTTTGTAACAGTTTGTAACAACTTTCAACGTTCCAAACGGTGAGTTCTAAAAAGACACTTTTTCTATACATTTATGAAAAAACTACATAATAATAAAAACAATAAAACTAAAAGTATTAGAGATTTTTGTGAAACAATGTCTCTCAAAATTATGAATGGATTTTTTCAACGTAGAGACATCCACACATTTACGTGGATACAACCTACTAGGAATCTGGGCTCGATAATCGACTATGTAATCCAACGTCAATACGTTGGCGTATTGACGATTGAATATTGGATACTTCAGCTCAATATCCAAGAAAGGGGATAAACGCAAATGCTCTAATTGTAGGGGAATAACTGTTATCAGCTCAGTGGGGAGGTTATACGGTCGAATAATAAAACAAGGAATAGAATCAGAATACGAAGACATAGAAGAACAAAATGGATTTCGTGCAGGAAGATCGTGCACTGATGGTATATTCGTTCTGCAGCAGGTAATCGAAAAACGAAAGGAAAGGAATCTATCTATCCACCTATGGTTTGTTGATTTAGGCATACGATACGGTACCTTTGAAAAAACTGTTTTAAACATTGACGAAAGTAGGTCTCAGTAGAGAGTATGTGAATGCTATCGCAAATATATACAAAAATTCAAGAAGTGTCGGTAAAGAAGGAAACTTTATGTCTGAATCCTTTCCAATAACAAAGGGGCTTAAACAATGATGTTGTCTATCTCCGACCTTATTTAAAATATATATTCAATCACCACTAGAGCAGTGGAGAAAACAAGTATCCGGAATGGGAATAGACATAGGCGGTGGTAAATGTCTAACAACGTTATTTTTCGCAGATGATCAGGTAGTCGCAGCGAATGATGAGGAAGACATAGACTACATGTTTAAAAAACTAAAGAAATAATATGAAAAATGGGGCCTTAATATGAATATGTCAAAGACAGAGTATCTTAAAATAGGAGATGATGAAGAAGATCCTGAGTTAGAAATTAGAAACACAAAAACATGAAATAAATATAAATATCTCGGATCTATAATATCTAGAGAAGGCACTACCAAAAAAGACATCGAAAACAGAACGCAGCAGGGAAAAAAAGTGGTTAATACTCTAAACTCTCTACTATAGTCTAAAGATATTAGACAAGAAACGAAATTGACAATCTATCGAACTTTGGTAGAGCCTATTATGACTTATGGGGCAGAAGTTTGACAGATCATAAAAAAAGATAGAAAAAGAATAGAAGTAGTAGAAATGGATTTTCTAAGGAGAGCATGTGGTGTATCCAAAATAGATCATATCAGGAATAAAGATATTAGAATGAGGACAAATACGGTATATTCCAGTGTAGACAGAATTGAAACGAGACAACTAGTGTGGTATGGTCACGTGAAGCGAACGAATGAAGATAGATAGCTAAAGAAAGCTTTAAATTACTTACCATAACAAAAAAGAAAAAGGAAAAGGCCTTCAGTTGCCTGAGAAGAAAATAATGTACGACACCTAATGAGCGATAGAGCTATCAAAGAAGACAAATAGATATATATATATATATATATATATATATATATATATATATATATATAAACTAGAAGAATTATTGCCCTTTTACAAGTTTCGAGAACCCTAGTTATTGACCCAGTTCTAGGTAGACAAAAAAGTTGTTTTTTATATAGAATTAGCGAAGCGGTTAGTACGATGAAAAAACATTCATAACCAGTTGTAGTCTTAAAAATGATAACTTTTTTTATTAAGAAAGTGAGAATTAGCGGTAAGATAATATCGAAGTGTGTTTGGACACAAAAAAAAACAACCTGTTCTAGATTGAGTCTCAATTCAACACGAACGAGATAAACAACTGGTTTTATTTAAGCTAAGATATATCGAAAATAAATAGAATATATGTTCGTGTTTTTTTAATTGTAACAAAATAATGAGGAAATATTCGTAATATATTAAGACTTAAGACAACAATGTTTGGTAGTATATATTGGTGTGAGCAGACTTTTGAATCTCTAATGATAAAAAAACAAGCATCATTCTCGATTGATAAATGAATATTTATATACGATACTTCGCATTTTTTTTCTGTCTAAAATGCAAGCAACAACTTAAAACGCTTTGACACAATTTGACACAATTGATGACTCATGCGAAAAATTTATTAGATGAAATGTAAACTGCACCAACACCCCCATAATATTTGGTTCCCTTACATAAAAAAATGTTGCCGACCCGTACTGTATATTATATGGACAAAAAAACACCACATCCATAATTAAAATTGCATTTTTAAAGCAAAGTTAGTTAGAAAAGCCCGAGCAGCTAATAATCTCTTCTTACCTTGGACCCTTACCAGCTAGAGTATCTATGGAACATTTTGTACATGCCAGTCTTTTGCAATCCATACAAACTATTTTTTGTGCACCAAGTAAACCAAATCCGTCACCGCATAATAGGCATTGTGAAGCATTTTTTCCCAGTGCATTTCTCCTCATGTTTTCCAATTTTTCTACCAATTTTCCGACCTGTAATAAATAGGTATATTATTAAAACATAATAATACTAACATATAAGATATAAATCTACTATATTAAATGGGCACAGTAAGTTATGTTCATAAATTATCCGAAGGAGAACAAATATTGAAGGGAGTTAGATAAGTTTGTATGTTTTGTTTGTTATATTATGCTGTCTCTGGGGAATTGTACCGGAGGCTTTTAAATTCGAAGCAGCATAGATAAAAGTAAATGTGTTTTTAATTGACAATATTAATTGATAAAATATAAATAAGAAAAACTAGAAAGAATAAGAAAAATATAGATTCTATCTAAACGTACAAAAACAAATTAATAATGAAAAATAGAAAGAACAGCAATACTTACTAAACCCTAATTATGAGCAGCCATGAGATATAAAAATAAAGAAATACACGTAACATACCTAGAAATGTACTAAACACTGCTTGGGGTAATTGCTGGCTGGATCGAGTAGCTCTGGGGTTACCAAAGCTGGTCTCAAGCCAGGATAAAATATGGACTGTAACATTAGTAACATTAGTAGTATCGAAGGATGTTACGAATAGCATGGGTAGACAAAATTACCAATATTGAAGTCCTTGATAGGGTTAATAAGAGGGAAGAAATTGTACAGACAATTAAGAGGCGGAAACTTGAATATTTCGGTCATATATTAAGAGGTCCTCGTTATGGGCTACTACGTTTGATTATAGAGGGCAAAATAAAAGGTAAAAGAGATGTAGGAAGAAGACGAACCTCCTGGCTACGAAATCTAAGGGAATGGTTTAGTCTGAGCTCTAGCCAACTATTTAGAGCTGCTGTAAGTAAAATAAGAATTGCCATGTTGATATCCAACCTTCGTTAGAAGATGGAACCTTAAGAAGAACAAGAACATTAGTAACCTACCAATCGTAAAAATGAATACTGTTTAAATAACAATGTAAAGTCTCAAAATTGGATAGGTAATATGAAGATCGCCACGGTAAGAAACAGGGAGAAGAAAACAATACCCAAGTTCACATATTTACTTTTATAATCGGAAAGGGTTATATTTTGGTAGAGCTTACCATAAGTCGGCTCTGAAGAAGCCAAGAGGCAGAAATATGCATATCAGGTGGTAGAATGGTGGTACGCGCTGTAATGACATAAAACCTTAACTGTCTATTTTATTTTTAATATTTTACTCTAGTATGGACTGGTAATAAATCGTTACCACGAAGGGATTTCTGCTTAGACGAATTGGCATGACATGGACACAAATTATAAATCCCCATGCCAGTGCATTCGTTGTCTGCTTGTTTTGCAACGTTTAGGAAACAAATATTTAGGTTAAATCCTGAATTCAATTTCCGATTTGTATTCTCATCCAGTGAATAGTTAGGCAAGGACCTGCCGTAATCTTTTTCCATCCACTTTCAAGGAATATGTCACTATTTTGTTGCCTTCGGAGGATTTACTGTTTTTCATTTCCTGCACTGACTGTCGAATTTTATTTTGTGTTATGTTTGATAAAATTTCAGATTCCTGATTAATTACACTACAATGCTGTTCTTTGTATACTTGGCTATAAAAACCCTCTATAGCGTTCATAATTTGATCTCGATCCTCAATGATTTGTTCCTGTTTATTTCTTAATTTGTGGATGTTTTTTCTTTTAATGGACAAGTTCTGTCTGCGTACTTTCAAGCTTTTTTTCTTCTATTACTTTAGTTATATCTATCGTATTATATCGTCTCAGATCCTTTCCAACCTCGTTTTTAATTTTCTTATTCAAGATTCTTAGTTTATTTTTGTTATAAACCTGATTTTTTCTAAGTGTTGGTCTTTCCACTAGGAGACGTTTTGTGCTGTGGCTCAATTTTTTGTTTTTGTTTTCAGCACGAGGATAGTAATTCGTTTCAGCTTCTTTCTGTTACCTCTAAGTTCTAAATTAAGAAGTCTGTTACCTCTCCCATTTCAGAAGATGACTACCACATTAAAGATCCGTGAGGATATCGTTAGTAAAAATCATCGCGGATCCACTAATGGATAATTTACTGAATGATCATGAAGCTCGGAATCCAAGATCCGGCACGGGAGGATAATCAGATTTAGACGACAAGGCCTCTCAGGTCGTTATCATGGTAAATCCCTGTCAAGCAAATAAGAATAATTCTATAGCCTTGAAAATCGGAACATGGAACGTAAGAAGTTTATACCAATCAGGCAAACTAGATAACGCTGTGTCGGAAATGTGCAGAATGAAAATTAACATACTGGGCCTTAGCGACATACAATGGCCTGAATCAGGAAAATGTAATACCAGAAATGGAACAATGTATTCTTCTGGAAACAACGACTCCAATCACAAACAGCGAGTTGGCATTATAGTTGATAAGAATTTCCAGAAAGCTGTCTGTAACTTTGTTCCCTACTCTGATCGAGTGTTAAATATGTCTCTAAATTCTCATTTAAAACGTAAAATAAATATAATCCAAGTATATGCACCCACTGCAGACAAGAATGAAGACACCATAGAGGCCTTCTATGAACAAATCGACAATGTCGTAAGGCTAACTAAAAGACAAGATATAAATATTATAATGGGCGATTTAAACGCTAAAGTGGGCCAAGGAGAAGTGGACAATTGCGTGGGGCGATATGGACTCGAGGAAAGAAATTAACGTGGCGATAGGCTTGTCGATTTCTGTGTCAACGAGTAACTCATAATTACAAATATCTTGTTCAAACTTTCTAAACGTAGACTATATACATGAGGTCACCTGCTGACAATAACAACAAAATAGTCAGAAATCAAATAGATTATATTATCGTCAACAGAAGTTATAGAAATTCTATAATATCATCTAAAACTTATCCAGGAGCGGAGATATCCTCCGATCACAACCCGGCTGTTTTGTCGATGAGAGTGAAACTAAAGAAGGTCAACAGCCCTAGAACCAAGAAGATCATGGATACAAGACGTCTCAACCAAGACAACACATATGCGGAAACGAAATTTAAAATAAACGAGAATTTAAGGAAAGTCAAAGAAGATAATGCGGAAACTATAACTATTGACCAAAAATGGGGAAAAATTCGACATGCCCTTGTGTCAGTTGGAAAAGAAACCCCCAAACCACTTGGAGAAAAAACAAAACCTTGGATGGCAGTAGAATTTTTTGAACTTATGGAAGAACGAAGAAACATAAAGCAAAAAACCAGAATAAATACAAAGAAATTCAGAGAAACATCAGAAAGAAAATTCGAGAGGCAAAAGAAATGTGGCTCTCCGACAGATGCAAGGAAATAGAAGATCTGGATAAAAAGTACAATAGCTTTAATTTACACAAAAAAATCAAAGAAATGACAGGTTCTAGAAAATGCACAAGAACGAATATCCTTAAAAATGATAAAGGGGATATTATTACTGATATAAAGGAGAGATTATGTCTGTCAATTGACAGATTGAAGTGAAATTTCACATAGATTTATTTAAAGAGTCTACTAAAATAATACAAAAAAATAGGCCAGTGTCAACGTAGTTTCTTCTCGCAGCGCAAAACTTATTGAATACCCTATTATGTTTAAAGTCAAAATGAAATGAAGTAGAATACATAACTAACAAATGACATTAAAGTAGTGTGAAACAAAATATTTTAAATTAAAATAAAATATTTTAATTAAAAATCACTTGTATCAATTTTACACAAGCATTCAAAGCTGAACAAGCCGTATTCCAACATTTCAAATTTGTTAGATTTTAATATGTAGTTGGATATTCCTTTATTTCGCTTCTATTATTTAAACAATTGGCATGTTTGAATCATCTCTAGTATACATATTTTATAATATGCAAATAAATAATTTAAATTCACAAAATGTAAACCAAATGTTCCTTTAGGTATAAAATTAAATGTATAATGTGATTTTACTGTATTGGTAAAAAAATATAGGAATAAGCCTCAATTAATTTATTTTTATAATTAATTAGTCGCTGTTTGAATTTCAAACGAGACAGTCGATATTACCGGCATTCTGCTTATATTTAGTTAAATATAAAAATAAAAATCCAGTGTCTGTCGTGAAACAAATTAAGTGATTATTAATGGGACCCAAAAAAACGAAAATAGACTTCGCTTCTACAGAGATAGAGTCTGACAAACTTAAGTTTATGAATGTGACGTAGTCTTTCGCGCAGAAGGGTGGATCGTTTCTACCAGTGGCGGACGGAAACCGATAGCTTCAATTCAAGTATATTCAATTAAATTGAGAATGAATTTGTCATTTTTATTTTCATAGTTTTTATTATTTATGAAGTTTATAGTCGGTCATTCGATAAAATAATGAGTAAACTATTAGGAGTACTTTAATAAATAACAAATTCCTCAATACTTTCAATTTATTAACATTGCCAGGAAGGAAGGAAGGGTTTCAACAACACAGAAAAAAACATTTATTTTAACTAATTAAATAATGTACTTATTTTTTAATCAGTAATGATTGTAATTTGCATAACAGTGATTCCCATCCTTCTTCTAATATAGTATTGCATAACAATGATAATAAAATTGTCTCTTTTTGTAAATTTAATTCAAACTGTAATATAAACAAAACTGTATCTAATTTATTACCTACTTATTCTACAAAAGTTGACGATTCTGATGATGAGGCTATCATTTCTTTGAGTAATAATTTGGCTTTAGATAGTAATTTAACATTGTTGGACAAGCACGGTTCTGATAATCGTCCATATATATCTATTTCAGTAGATGGAGAGGTTATTTCTGCACTTTTGGATTTAGGTAGCAATGTTTCTATCCTGGGTTAATCATCGTTGTATTTATTAAAGAAGTGTAAGCTTACTTTAAATTATGATGTTTCTATTTGCTTAACAACAGCTGATGGTAGTCTTCAAAATACTATCGGTTGTGTTGATTTACCCGTATCATTGCAGAATATCACACATATATTGAAATTTTTAGTAGTACCTTCTATTTCTCAAAAAATGATTTTAGGTATGGACTTTG